TTACAGGTAGGCTGCAGTGTTTTCCCAGCACAGCCAGAAAACTGACCACACTGGGATGGATGTGCTCTCATGCCTAGCATGGTCAGTTTGAAACAAGAAAGCAGGGGGGCTGGCAGGATCACCAGGGATTTCACACAAAGGAAGCAATACAAAGAGAACAGGGTACTTTTTAGCTCAAGCACATGGTACAACAGACACATATAAGGAATATGAAATGTTGGGGTAACATATTCTTTAACTCTCCATTTAAAAAAACCGAAACTAGCAAGCTTGGGTGATCACACTTGTGCATGTGCTTTCCCTGTGTATTTTGGCCAGTTTTTGCAAACTCGTTTTCACATTTTTGATGCATTTTCATGCATCATGAATTTTTTTACAGGAAGAGACTATATTTTAAACTCAAACACCTACCAGAAATGCATGTGCATGCATTATTTATGCATTTTTCATGCAATTTGAAGTCTATGGACCCAAAAACGCAACGTCTTGTAGGAAAAAAAGTCCTTGCACCTTCCCCAAAATGCACTGCAGGAAACTGATTAGATATGAATGGGGTCCATAGGGAACCATATCACATTGATTGTCATTTATTCCTGCTCTGAAAATGCACTAAAAATGCACAGATGCAATCCATTTGAATGGGCTGGTGTGCCTGCAGGAAAAGGTCCCTGCAGCGTTTTATAATTGCAGTCACACAGAAAGGCATCATATGGTTCACCCAGAAACATGCTGCATTTTCAGATACGTGGGAGTGCCAATAACAGTTAATGGCACCCCATGCATATGCTAAACAGCAGCACGTTTGCCTGCAAGTGAAATTTGCACACATTCCCGCACCCACATAAGTGTGACTCTAGCATAAAGCAGTATTAAACACAAAACAAACATTTATTGTATTGCAACTTACCAGTTCTTAGATGTGATGGATGCATTAGTTTTCTTTTTATGCTTTTTTTCCTTTATTTTCACCTGCTGATCCTGCCAGTAAATCGGTTGTCTTTCAATACCACAAGCTATCCTGCAGATGTAACAGTTAGAGGGTTGAGACCAACTCTTTAACACTGGCAGTGGGTGATTACAATGGCCAGTTTTTATTTATTTACCCCAAAAGGAACCAAATTGTTGCTGTAACTGATTATAAAGTGTTAGCTGTAGTTTGGCTTCAGTTTGTTAGTGTAGCTAAATCTGAGTGTAGGCACCCTGAATTAGCAGCAGGTAGCCCTACTGCTAGAAAAGTGAAGTTAGAGTTTTATTGAATTATCCTGACAGTGTGAGAAGGAGGATTTGACTCAGGGAAGGTAAAGGGATTTAATAAAGCTTACGTATCACATAATAACTTGGTTTGAGACTTGTTTAGGGCCGGTTCACACCTAAATCACAGGAACGCGGTCCACATTCCTGTGCAATTCCTATGCGACTCAGTGCAGTGGGATTTTTCAGCCCATTCATTTGAATGGGCTTAAATTACATTGGATTGCACCTAACGCAGTGCATGCACTACTTTTCACAAGCACACTGCTCAGAATCCCATTCTACTACAGTACTATACAATCCGGTGCAGGCAAATGCACTGCATCTGTGATCTGCATTTGGAGTAGGGATGCACCGATACCCTTTTTTGATCAGCGAGTATGAGTAACGATACTTTCCGGTATGATATGCGTCAATATATAATGTATGGATGCAAATTGCACCGCAAAGCATGGCATGTGATTTGAACACAAATGTCAATCCTCTCCATATCACAAGCGGTTTCCCCACTGCGTGAACCCTGGCTTGTCATAGCCTGAGTTTACACAGGAGCGGTGCAGGGAGGTTTCCCCGCAGCGGAGAGTAGAAGAGGGAAGGGCGTGTGGGGATGTATATCTTGGTGGCACATGGAGGAAGATGCTCCGTATTCTCAGCTGTAGAAGAGGAGAGAAAATGGCGGGGATCTGAAAATCCCCACAGCTCTCTCTCCTTGCAGGAATGACAGTTCACATGGACAGTGCTGACCAATCAGAAGTCGTCTAGCCTGTACTGTCATCACTGCAAGGAGAGGAGAGGAGAGAAAACTGCTCCACAGGTCTGGGGATTTTAAATCCCTGCAGCTTTCTCTTCTCTCCTTGCAGGGATGACAGTATGGACTAGATGGCTTCTGATTGGTCAGCACTGTCCATGTGATGGTGCTAACCAATCAGAAGCCATCTAGCCTGAAATGTCATCCCTGCAAGGAGAAGAGAGAATGCTGCGGGGTTTTCAAATCCGCACGCGATTTGGACAGGTATCACATTCCTGTTCAAATCGCATGCTATTCTTTCCGGTCCAATTTGCATTTTGTATTGACGCAAATCACACTGCAAAGTATCGATTTCCAGTTCTCATGAAAATCCTCAGTATTGGCACTGGAATCGGTGCATCCCTAGTTTGGAGTGTCCTTAGGATTATATTGACACCCACAGCAGATCACACATCCAGTGCGTTTTGAACACAGTGCAGGGAAATGTGCATGGAACATGGATTTCCTGCACCATGTTTCGGTGGGAAGGAGTCCTCAGAATGTCATGCTGGATTCTTCAGTTAAACATTAAAGATTGCTTCAACATGCTGTTTCCACTGAAGGCAAACTCTGGTGATGTGAATTTCTTTATCATATGCTAAAGGGGAAGAGACTCTTCTTAGAAATGTTCCCTCCCCCTCTTCCTACCTATCCTTCCTAACCTGCATAAATAAGATCTCTATACGTACCCATTTTTAATCCACTCCAGTCTGGATACATACTGTAATCCTGCAGCTTCGGCTCACAGAGCACTCAATATTAGCTGGGAATTTCTGGAGCTGTGATGTCACCCTTTGACTCCCATGGCTCAGCTGTTGTTGGTGCTTCCTCCTCTCCCCTGCAGCAGCCGCTCACTGGCACAGGGAAGCCAGAGCTGCAGGATCATGCGTCCATAGCGCAGTGGATTAAAAATAGAAGAATACACAGATCGTTTTTATACAGGTTAGGCAGGATAGGTAGGAGGATGGGGGAGGGAACATGTTTAAAAACAGATTGGGTTAGGCTTTTGTTCGACTTTAAATTGCCCAAGTTTTCTGACAGAATCATTCCAATAGTTTGCATTACATAGGAGCGTATTAAAATGTTGCCTGTTATCTCCCATTAAAGAATATTAAGACTTGTCTCAACATGAGCTCTATGATCACAACATACACTTTCATTTTGTAGGATCAGCATTGTGATAACAATACAAATAATAGTTATATTTAAAAATTCAGTATAAACTTACTTGAAAATTATCCTTTCATATTGTGAGCTCTGCTTGTCTGCTGCCATCTCTTTCTACAACTTCATGGATTCCCAGCATGCTTTGCAGCTTCTCTGTTGTTTAATTTAATTTCTAAGGACTACATATCCTATGGTACCGTGCTGCCTGCAAGCAGTGATTCCCGTACTTACTCTGCCTCCTGAAACTCCTCCTCTCAGCACCTCTGTAGTTCAGAAGGAAGGCTCTGTGAAATGTGTGACACAGCAGTGCCTACTCACAGGGCATAGTGAGTATGTGTCACAAAATTCTAAGAAGTAAATGTGTAGGCAAATCCACAAATTAAGTTTACAAACCTGAAGATAATTCAGATTAATTGGAGTAGGCTTTGTATTGCTTTGTCAATACCCTCTTGCTATAGTCTCCTTTTATACTGTATGCAGAACCATGGACAGCGGCAGCTGCACCATAGGAATGTACTGACTGTTCACCAAAGAAAAATTTAAGTCAGGATAAAAACTTCTAACAAACTTACACAATGCCAGGTTATGAACCATTGGTATTTTCTAGTTTTAAAAAATAACTGCAATTAAACTCTATTGTTCATTTTTTTGCTAGTACATTATGTTTGATCACTTGGGCATTGTTCCTGAACCAATTCTAATTGTTTCTAATTGTCCAATTGTTTCTAATTTTTAGGGACTCTTTAATGGCATAGTACCACTGGATTGGCGTAAGGCCAATGTGGTGCCAATATTTAAAAAGGGGTCAAAATCTTTAGCAAGTAATTATAGACCTGTTAGTTTAACTCTATAGTTGGGAAGATACTGGAGAGTTTAATAAAAGATCACATAGATGAGTTCTTGCTGAAAAAAAATATTTTAAAGCAACAGACAGCATGGATTCATGAAAGACAGAAGTTGTAAAACAAATCTGCTTTCTTTTTATGAGGCGGTGAGCAAAACCTTGGACACAGGGGTGGCAGTGGACGTGGTATACTTGGATTTTGCAAAAGCGTTTGACACAGTTCCCCACACACGGCTAATGTGTAAGGTAAAGTCTACAGGCTTGGAAAAATCCGAATGTAAATGGCTGGAAAACTGGCTAAAAGATCGTATTCAGAGAGTAGTGGTTAATGATCATACTCTGAATGGTCTAGGGTTGTCAGTGGTGTACCCCAAGGTTCAGTGTTGGGACCCTTACTTTTTAATAAATTTATAAACAATATAGGGTCTGGGATTAAAAATCCCATTTCAGTCTTTGCAGATGACACCAAGCTGTGCAGTGGAATAACGTCCTTACAGGATGTCTCCAAGTTACAAGCCGACCTCAATGCACTGTTTAATTGGGCAACTATGTGGCAAATGAGGATGAATGTTGATAAATGTAAGGTTCTGCACTTGGGGGCTAAGAATATGCATGCATCATATATATTAGGGGGGTACAACTGGCGGAATCAATGGTGGAGAAGGATCTGGTAGATCACAACCTTAATAATGGCATGCAATGCCAAGCTGTGGTTTCTAAAGTGAGCAAAATCCTCTGTTGTATTAACTAGTTGCCGACCGCAGATAGCCGAATGACGGCTGCACTGCGGTCGGCCAGTTCTGGGTGGACGTCATATGACGTCCCCCCAGAACGCACTCTCCTGCGCGCCCCAGGGGGCACGCAACTGGCGATCTCCGTGATCGCTGTGTCCTACGGACACAGCTGATCACGTGATGTGGTAAAAGGCCAATCATACCAGCCTTTTACCACGTGATCAGCGGTGTCCAATGACACGCTGATCACAGGGAAATGCAAGTGCCGGTTCTCGGCTGCACTTTCCTCACGCTGTCAGATCGTGAGGAAAGTACTGCCGAGAACCGGCAGTTGTCAGAGCGAGGATCGGCACCGATCATCAGGGCACTGATGATCAGTGCCCTGATGATCGGTGCCCAGCAGTGCCACCCACAAGTTCCGCCCACCTGTGCCCAGCAGTGCGCCCACTAGCTCCGCCCACCTGTGCCCAGCAGATCACCCACCTGTGCCAAGCAGTGCACCCACCTGTGCCCAGCAGTGCACCCACCTGTGCCACTCTGCAGTGTCACACACCTGTGCCCAGAAGTGCCACCTACCTGTGCCCAGAAGTGCCACGCACCTGTGCCCACCCACCTGTGCCCACCTGTGCCACCCACCTGTGCCCACCCACCAGTGCTGCCCACCAGTGCCACCCACCAGTGCAGCCCAGCAGTGCTGCCAGTTAGTGCCACCAGTCAGTGCCCAGCGGTTGTGCCAGTCAGTGCCGCCAGTCAGTGCCCAGCAGTGATGCCAGTCAGTGCCGTCTATCAGTACCCATCATCAGTGTCACCTATCAGTGCCGCCTATCAGTGCTGCATATTAGTGCTGCCTATCCGTGACACCTCATTAGTGCTGCCTATCAGTGCCGCCTATCCGTGCCACCTCATTAGTACTGCCTATCAGTGCCCTTTAGTGCTGCCTATCAGTGCCCATCAGTGCCGCCTATCAGTGCCCATTAGTGCTGCCTCATCAACGCACATCAGTGAAGGAGAAAAATTACCTGTTTGAAAAATTTTATAATAGAAACAAAGAAACTTTTTTTTTTTTTTCAAATTTTTTTGCACTTTTTTAATTTATAGCACAAAAAGTAAAGTGCCCAGTGGCGATTAAATACCACCAAAAGAAAGCTCTATTTGTGAGAAAAAAAATGATCAAAATTTCATATGGGTACAATGTTGCATGACCGCGCAATTGTCAATCAAAATGCGGCAGCGCTGAAAGCTGAAAATTGGCCTGGTAAATAAGGGGGTATAAGTGCCTGGTAGGCAAGTGGTTAAAAGAGGTATAGACTCCAGAGAGAGAGATATCATATTACCCCGGTACAAATCATTAGTAAGACCTCATCTGGAATATGCAGTTTAGTTTTAGGCACCAATTCACAAAAAGAACATTGGGGAACTGGAGAAAGTACAGAGAAGGGCAACTAAACTGATAAGAAGCATGGAGGAGCTCAGCTATGAGGAAAGAATTAGAGGAACTGAATGTATTCTCTCTTTGAGAAAAGGAGATTAAGGGGGATATGATCAACATGTATAAATACATCAGTGGTTCATAAAGTGATCTCGGTGTAGAGCTATTCACTCTGAGGTCATCACAGAGGACAAGGGGGCACTCTTTACATCTGGAGGAAAAGAAATGCAATCTCCAAACACAGAAAGGTTTCTTCACAGTGAGAGCTGTGAAAATGTGGAATAGACTCTCTCAAGAGTTGGTTCTGGTCAGCTCAGTGGATTGCTTCAAAAAAGTCCTGGATTATTTCTTAGACACAAAAAATATAACTGGATACTAACATTTATAGGTAAAGTTGATCCAGGGAATATCCGATTGCCCCTTGGGGGATCAGGAAGGAATTTTTTTCCCAGCAGGAGCAAATTGGATCATGCTTTGCTGGTGTTTTTTTTTGTCTTCCTCTGGATCAACTGTAGGTATAGGATTATAACTTTTTTTTTTCTATGGTTGAACTGGATGGACTTTGTTCAGCCAGACTAACTATGCAACTACCATAAAAGCCGCTATAGAGCTTTGGCCTCTGGGTGGCTCTATATTGCTAATAATGTTTTTCAAATGTTTGATCATTGCCTGCTTAATTACTCATGGTTGTCTAGTACATGGCACCCCTGCGCAGGCGATCAGCTGTTTATATTGTTCAGCATTTCAATAAAACTTTTGACAGAAAAAATAACTGAAATTAACCACTTACCACCCATGCCAATTCTGACATTTCTCACATGAATATAAAAATCTGTCTTTTTTTTTTGCTAGAAAATTACTTACAACCCGCAAACATTATATATTTTTTGGCTGATGCCCTAGAGAATAAAATGGTGGGTGTTACAATTTTATGTCAAAAGGTATTCATGCAAATATTTTTTGAAAATAGATTTTAACAAATTTTATTGCACAAACATTATATAATACCTAATTTTTTGTTAAAATATAAGAGATGATGTTACGCTGAGTAAATAGACACCTAATATTTCACACTTTAAAATTGGGTATGTCACTGGAATGGCATCAAACTACGGTACCTAAAAATCACCATTGGGGATGCTTTAAAAGCCTTTATAGGTTACCAGTTTCCAGTTTCACAGGAGGTCTAGAACTAAAATGACTGCTCTAGCTCTGAGATTCGTGACAATACCTCAAAAGTGTGGTGCGATCACTGTTTACATACGTGTACGGGACTTACGTATGTGTCCACGTTTGCACTTAAGGCGGTGCTTTCCATTTTTTTTTATTATTTACTTCAAACTTTTTTTTACACTTTCTTTTTAATTTTTTTTAAAGCAACTTTATTGGGTTTACAAGGTATATTAGACCCCAGATTTCTCCTGTTGCCTCCAATGCAGACGACCAGACACAGATCTGTCTCTGTGCCTGTGAAAGCAGGGAGAAAGAACCAGCACTGCTGCTGATGGGCACAGCGCTGGATGGATACAGGATTCTGGTAAGTATTTAGGGAGAGGGATGCGGGAAACAGCTGCTAGAGAATTTTGTGCCCTAATGCAGGTAATGCATTAAGGTAAAAAAAAACTCTTTTGAACCTCTTTAAGCACTTTTGTGTCAAGATGGCCATCCAAAGCTTGCATGATTTCGGTACCAAGCAGATGACACCATCCTTCCCAGGAAGGCTACCTGGAGCCCATTTAGGGGGACAACTTTAGTTCCATATGAGTTCCTGCCAGCCTGAAGAAGCAACACAGCACCCTCTTCAGGTTGCCAGACAAAGCACAGCATCGACTGCCTATATCCAGACCTAGGATAATCATCATTAGATGTAACATGTTAGACTTGTGGTGTGCACAAAAATGCTTTTCTTGGAGTTTCGCATTAAAGCTGAGCTCCCAGTAAATGTCCAAATTAAATAAATATCTAGAAGCTGTTTTATCTGCTGAGGATTTGATTTTCTGTCTCTCCTGTCCTGAGATTTCCACAGCTCAGCTCCACAGCCCAGCCCTATCCAGCAGGGGAGGGGGCATGATCTTTCTCTGCTGCAGTTTTATTTCATTTACAGGTCTCCTTCCCAGCCACTACCCTGTGACTGGACAGTGAAAGAAGTCGAAGCAGTACATCAATTAGCTCATTTTTCGGTCACTTTGCTCTCTCCTCCCATTTACATGGCTTCTTGCACTGCAGCACACCTGTCTGGCTCCTTGTACTGCTTCTCTCTTTTCTTTTCTGGGGTCTGATGTACAGACTGTAGAATGCAAGAGGTTGTTACTAAGTCAAATTCAGCTACTTCCACTTCAAGCATTAAAAATACATTTATTGATATATTGAGCATTTACAGAGCTGTATTCATCTGTGCATGTCTGGAGTTTAAATGTAACTATTGTAAGCCTGTAAGAGTAAGCACTGAGGGTCTGTTCACAACAATCGCTGTGTCACAACACAGTTGCTGGTGTGATGCAGTGGGATCACTGCAGTGCCAATGTGCCGATCCTTGCTCAACGCACTGTTCCTTTTTATCTTTTTTTACAAACTTTTTTAAAATGTCAAAGTGACATTCCATTAAGTTCTGTCAGCTTTCACATTGTGAGAGGCAGTGCATTGCATTAGAAAAAATACGACCTGCCGTAGTTTTTTCCGTACACACCACTGTAATCCGGTGATGTGAACAGGCCGCATAGGGGACAAGGATTTTTGCCTTGTCTACATTACACTCGAATAGCTGCCCAATGAAGTCCCACCTGGTGTCAATGGGCCCTAAATACTGCACTTACAGTATGTGCTGAACTAATACTTTAGTTATCAAAGATATACTGTCACTTTGTCCCAGTTACACTCACATTACCAGCAATTCTGCGCCATTCCTGCCTTTTCTGCAACCGGATGGAAAACCCAGGTGTACAGGTCTACTAGCCAACTGCCAGGCCCGAGCACTATGACATGACAGAGTAAGCGATGCCACTTCTCTCCCTACCCCTGTATGGACTGTAGGGCATTTCAATTTTTGGCAGAGGGTGGAAATGTACATTTTCTTGTATGCAGATATTGAGCTCCCAGGTTTTGCTAATGGCAGTACCAATGGATCCCCTCCTCCCTGTTGAGTTATTTATGTTATATTAAAGGATAAATTCACCTTCCATAACTTGTTACACCCATATCCAGGGTATAACATGTAACATGGTACTCAATAAGGAGCCCCCACACCCCCTACCCCTTGAGTCCCCCGTTGTAACAGCAGGCCAGGGATCTTCTTCCTTTACACGCTGTGATAATTATTTTCTGTGAATTAGAAAAACCACAACTATTGTCAGCCATTGTGGCTGATGGCTTGTAGTTCTCAATGAACTATCAGGGTGCTGGTGTGCGCTGTGGTGGTTCATTGATTCTTCCTGTCATTGAGTAACTGTCTGCCCATATGAGGTATGGGCAGACAGCTACACTGACAATCTGCAGGAGCTTTGCATTACACCTGCAATCTGCTGATCGTCGGTGCAATGCTTTGCAGGCTCCTAATAAAAAAAAGTAATAATAAATGCACATTTTGTTTTACCTGCAAAAAGAGTTGCATTTATTTATTTTTAAAGAGAACTTAGCCTTTAAGGTAAATGCAACACCAAGCATAAAAACCAACAAAATTCCAAAGGGACTGGGACAGAGCCAAGAACTAGGGCAGGGAAATTGTGCTGCTCAATTCAACCAGCTAGCAGGTGATTCCAACTTTAATTAAAAAAAATCTCTTTTAGGTAGAGCACCATTTTTTATTTCACACTTTTCAATATAGTCTCTGAAATACATTCTGATAGCTAAGCAGTCAATAGATGACAATATTTTAAAGTTCAAATCTGTACTCACATTTTCTCATAAAGTTTTTTTTAGCAGTCTACCTGCAGTTAATACAGAGCAACAAAAGGCCAGAAATACTTACATTCCCTGGAGAAATGCTACTAAAGCCCTGGTTCACACTTATGCAGGTGTAACACCCTGCTATAATTGTCTTGCAGGATGTTGAAGCCAACACAAGATGACAGTGTTCTGCAGAACAGTAGCAGCCACATGTTGAAGAATAGCCATGTGGAACTTGTAGGCAGACTTGCAGGACTTTACTGAAGAACAGTGCACCTGGGAACTACATTTCCCAGAGGAGCTTGCGTGTGGTGGGGGCATATATAACTCAAAGTCCAGGAGAATAACCAGGAAGTGAGAGGGGAGAAATAAAGGGAGGAGGAAGTGTGCTGCCGGCTGGAGTGTTGGACCAGGCAGCAGAGCCAAAGTTAGAGAGGGAGGAGAAGCGGAAAGAGTCTGCTGATCGT